TTTTTTTTTTTTTTTTATTTTCTCCTCCCGATGATTCCATCGATGGGTAATGAAAGAAAGGGGATCGTATCGAGAGTCTTGAGTTTTACTGGAGCGGTAAACAGGCTGGAGAGCGAAGTGAACAATGAGACTGGACAGGGCTGCTCACTGGAGCACAAACGGTTGAACCTGATCCAACACAAACAGTAGCGGTGCCATCACTTCTCTTTTAGCCCGTGGTCTGTAGTAATGGTTCGATCCTCCCGCACACGGTGCCAGTTCACTCATGTTTATGCATTGGACGAACGCTCCCACTCCCACCTCTCCTCCCTGTTGGTGCCGATGTCTCTGTTTGGTCTGTCGATGCAGCCAAGTGCCACTAGACTGGATGAATCATAAGAGCTGTGGAAATGGGGTGTTTGGGGAAACAGTGGTGGTGGTGGGGGGGGGTTAGTGATCAAATCCCCTTGTTGTAACGATTGAAGGAGTGTTTTCATTAGAATGAACTGCAACGACCACAAAGTGCAGCTAAGGATGATGGGACATAGATGAAATATTGTAAAAAATGTAAAACGACGACAAAATGAAATCAGGGATTTTTCGAGGAAACTTGTTCGTGTCCGAATCAAATTTGTTACCAAGGTTACCGGATGGTTCGCTGGCACGCCTGAAGAATCTGATCAGCACTGATCTTCACATGTGTACGTTTTGGTTCTACTGGAGCTTTCACGGTTATTTCATGGTTGAAAGAAACATCCGCTTTCTTTTCACAGGTTTTCATCGTCATATGTCGTCTTCCATTATTTCTGTCATGTTTACGTTCTGTGCATCATCTGTTCAGTTCGCACTTCTGTCGGCTCTGGAGTCCGGACTAAAGGAGTCGAGGTAAACTTATGTCACTTTCTTTCACTGCCGCCTGCAAGGGTCATAAATTACCTAATGTCCATTCAAACAGATCAGCGCACATTTACTGAAGCTCAGCCTCGAGGTCTGTCTGTAAAAAGTGAGAGACAGAGACAGAGAGGGGAATCACTTCCCACCCGTCGGCCCGGGCTCCGCATTGTGTGTCTCTGGCTTTCATCCAGACCTTCCATTACGTCGTCAGCAGACCATGGCCAGAAAGGTTTCAGCCACTCTATTCGATGACTGTGGAAATTGGGCACATTTTGGTTTCTTACTGGAGCATCAGTGTGACTCTGCAGAAACAATTTTGGCAGGATGTGGAAACCCTTTTCTTTCAAAGGCTTTTATTTGTTGATTTCCTAAGGATTGTCTCTCCGTCAGACAGGTTGTACCGAGCGTTTGTTGGGATTCGGTTGGAAGAAAATCATCCCGACCGTCGAATTCTTAATCCGGCCCCTGAACTGTGACGCAGCTATGATTTGAATTAAATATGTAAACACAGAACCACATTTTGTCCCAGTGTGGTTTATTTAAGAAAACAGTGTTTTATTACACGACTGAACTGCAGTATTTAGCCCTAATTAGTCTTTTTACAACTCTAGTACAAGTCTATTCACATGACCCACCTATAACAGAAACATACATTTTCATGTGGGCCTTGATTTTAATTACAAAATTACTCGAGTGTTTTTCCAAAAAATAAAAAACACAGATTGATGACTGAGAGATAAATAGATAAATACACAAAATAAATCAAACTCAATCGGCCAATAAATAAATAGAACAATAAATAACATTCAAAACATCTTTGGCCAAACTCAGGCCACTTCATCGTCCCCACGGGGTTGACATTGGTCTCGGTGGATGCCAGACACAGCACAGAGCTGTATCCTGAATCAATCAGCTTCACCTCTGGGGTTCTAAGGAGCAACACTGGATATGTGGCATGAAATAGCAAGTGAAAGAACAATTATATTGAGGCACTTATAAGGATGTTGTAGGAAATGACAACATTTCCGTGTGTATGCGTTTTCCCCAAGAGGAAACCAAGTGTAAGACAAGAAACATCATTCGATAGAGTGATAATTGAATGTTTGTTTTGCTCGTCTCGACCGCGCGTTCCCTCTTTCTTTTTTTCTTTTTTTTTTTTACAATTTTGGGACTGAGCATGTTAAAGTACCAAATAAAAACAGAAAACAGTGAGCTGGAAAAAATATGAAAACAGATAACATGGGAGGAAAAACAATGCTGGAACCTTTGCGTGTGTGTTCAACCAAAAGAACGTCGTTACATATTTGCTCTCAAAGTCTGTGGATAACATCAGTGTGTGTTCTCTGTGGTTGTTGAGTCCGACTGAGTTTCTGACTGTTCCCCGAATATCCCTGCCAAAGTCTTAAAGCGGGGCCCCCAGTCGTTGAGGTAATCGTAGTCCTCCTCGAGGTCTACGGCGAGGGACTCGATGGAGCTGAGCGACTCGGCCACCGAGCCGCCGCCCTCGTAAGCGTACGTGGCCAGGGAGTCATAAGGGGGAGCCGAGTTGTCCATGTCGTGCTCTGTCAGACGCTGGTTGATGAAATCTCGGATGTCGGCGCTGTCCTGAGAGACGGGCGGCCGGGGATCTCGCTTCATCTCAGGTTTGACGTCCCTGCGGAACAGGTTCTCTTTGACAACCTTGGGATTGCGAAGCGTTCCCATGTCGAAGGCGTGCGTGTCCTCCTCGCCGCCCCCTTCGTCGTCGTAGTGGATGACGTTGTCGCGGATGTCCTCTTTAGATGACATGAGAGTTTCCTTTTTCTTCTGCCGTCTCAGGCCCACATAGAGGACCACGATCACTTTGGGGAATAAATCGAGAGGAGTGAGTGTTAGACCATTGTCGAGAGAAATCGCTGCAGACAACCTGAGAGGAAGAAAGATGCTGCAGTGATTTGAATCTCAGAAGACATCAACTGTTTTTTAAGGTTAGAGTGACATTTTGTTAGATTTCAGATGATTTCAGCCTTTGGAGCAGAGATGACGTTGTGAGTTTGGTTGAATGTAAAATATTTCAACGTTTGGTTTGACATTCATTGGTGCCATTTGTGGTTTGAGCGTGAAACCTCTCGACGAACATTTGATTACTTGTTGGACTGACTGCCGTGGCGCTCGGTACAGATGTTCAGATGTTACAGATGTTCACGTCTCCCTCAGGATGATGTTCAGATCCCTCAACATTTAATCATCAATAAATTGCATATCCAGTAGTTTCCCATCAGCCTCAGCTGCACCTGGTTTAATGTCGATCAGCAAACGTCAGCGAAGATGGTGAACATGCTAAATATCAGCGTGTTTACATTTTCAATGTCGTTGTTGGTGAGTTAGCATTCTGGTATTAGCAATTAGCATCACTGTATCTGTACCCACTGCCTCACGTAGAGCCACTGTCACGGCTCAGATTAGCTGTTAGCCTCATGAAGGATCCGACCACAAGCGTTAAGTTCGTCTGTTCTCACGTCTGTGATCGGATCACGTTGACACCAGGTCTGAGTCCTGTAGGTTGTGACATGAACTCAGTGATAAAGGGCTGATAAACACAGTCAGATAAATTCTGTTTGCAACCTAGATACCTGAAATAGAAAAAAAACCCCTCTAAGTTTAATTGCTTTGATAGCACAATGCAAATAATGTGCAGTGGCAGCATTGCACGCACACACAGGAGCCGTAAACACGGCTGGGGGGTAAATTCTTACCTCTGAGAATATACCCAACGCAACAGTTTACTGCTTTAGAACGCAGCCCTTCAGGGGTTGCGTGAGGTTCTGCATATTTTTGGGCACCGCAGCACCGCCGTGTGATTTCCAACACATAATGCTACAATAAATTTCCTCCTCTGCCTTTCTCCTGTCAGTGCAATCTGTCTCCCTCCGTCTATCTCCCTCGGTGTCTCTCTCCCTGTCTCCTCGGTGAAAAATGCTGTAAAATATGTGTTTTTCCCCCCTCTGGGTTTTTAATATACGGTTACATGGAGGAGGAAGAGCAATGGCCAGGATAAAACTAGAGTCATTCAAATGAAAGAGTCCAATAAATACATTCAGACGGGGAAAATAACTCTTGAGCGGGTCTCTTACTTTCATCCTCCCTTCTTTCCGTCACTCCATCCTTGACTCTGATTTTATCTACCTGCGTACAGATAGTGTGTCAGCTCCCCCCAGTGGCTTCCACGCAGACTTCAGCGGGACAGACCGTAGGTCACAGTGGCTGAACACAGCTCGTCAGCGCCCAATCCACATCAGTGTGAAAGGAAAGAGCCGAGCAGATGAAAGTCTCTGTGACGGTCTGTTTAATTTACCTCATCATTTGTGCGCAACAGGAGAACGACGACAACTGGGTCATCCTGACAAATCCTGCACAGGAACTAAGTGGCTCTATGCAAATGTTCTCTCCCTGTGAGTTCTGATTCTCGGCGCCACTTTCCTTCTCGGGGACAGCGTGACGGCGTTTGGCGCCGCGGCCTCACCCTCGGGTGCGAGTCGACTTGGAGCCTTGAAAACATTTCTTTTCTCAGTTGAAGTGAAAACAGAGACACACTGAGTGCTTTTATGTTCCCCCTCATTTTAAACAAAGAAACAGAAGCTGATATTTCACATGAATGTGAACAAAAAGAGGATTAATGCTGAAGCACAGTCGCAGTTGCATGGATGAGTCTTTTTAAGCCATATATTAGTGACAGAGAGCAAAGTAATTACAGCTCAATTCAAAGGTCATGGCCACCCTTGACTTCCACTGTAAAATGAGAACTTCTTTAACAACCGACCATCCCACATTCATAATTTAGAAAATGATGCCATAAACCTACATTTACTTCTTCCTCGCTATGCAGATGAGTTTGGACATTAATGGCAGGGAATTAAAGAGGAGTTTTACAACTATGACCTTGTGGGAAATGCACAGTAAAAGCCTGGGAAGCTGCCACAGGGTGGAAAAATTGGATTTAGTTTATGGAGCCAAGCGACCCTCCCTCCAATTTTAAATGTCTCACTGAATGACCAAAATCATATGGGCTCAGTAATTAATTGTGTACACTCCCAGAGAGATGCCAGCCAACTCTGATACCGAGCTCAGTATGTTTGGAGTCAGGTTCTGCCAGAAATTGCCAAACATTTGAAGCATGGCTAAATGAAAATAGATTTGCAATTTAAATATAAATAGTATTTTAAATATCATATTTCAAGCAAACTTAACGTTTAAAACCTGCACCAGGGACCAATGTACTTGTCCCAGAAATCTCTGTTTGTATGTGGCTCCGATCATTTTATCAGCCGCACACTCAGAGTTTGTATTGTTAATGGCCCGAGGAAGTGCAGTGTGGAATACGGTGCGATTTTGACACATGATACCTTCAATATTAATCAGCAGGTGACCAGCGCTCTGTGGAAATGGCGGCTGGGATTCTAAGTGACGTTGTCGACAACAGCAACAACAACAACTCTGGGTTCTGCTCCTTGAGTCGAGCTCGACTGAACTTTGAATAAGCAGGAGAACAGCTCTGTGTGCAGCAGAGGTGGTGCAGCGTCACGGTTCTGCAGAGTCCAGCAGCAGGTCTTCAATTTCCTCAGGTCACTATTACAGTTTCAAAAACAAAAGCTGCAACCCAGCATCACCAACGAAAAAGAGGAGAGTGCACGATATAGTTCTTAAAAGGTATACTCACTTTTAACTTGTGCTGACATTCGTATGTTAAGGTTGAGGAAATTATAAGTTAGGAGCTATCGGGTTCCCTGTATGCTGTGATACTGAAACGAGGAATGTTTACAAGCCAGGAGGCGACAGGTCTCACCTAACAAGATGATGATACAGAGAAGGATGGCAATCAGAGCGCCGGTGCTGAGACCCACGGGCAGGAAGATGGCCTCTGCGCTGCAGGTCAACAGGGATCCATCTGATTCGCACCCACATACACGGATGGTCAGGGTGCCTGTGCTGCTCTTGGGGGGGTAGCCATTATCTTCAATCGCCACAGGAAGGAAATAGATCTCCTGTAAACGCCGTCTAAAGCCGCTCCGCTTCGTCACGATCCCAGCTGTGTTATCTGGAGGAAGGAGGACAGGGAGAGTGTTTTTCTTGGAAACATATTCAGTGTTGGATTGAAAGAATCTTGCAGATTTGAGCGCAGAGGCCTAAAGTGGTGCAGGTTAGAGAGTTCAGACCAAAGCAACAGAAACTTCAGTCAGAAAACCCCCTGAGCCACATTACAAGTCCGTAGGTCCAAGTACAAGAAAAGATAAAACTTTTAAAAGGTCTGATGACTCTTTACGTTTGATACGAGCTGAGCTTCTCTGAATGTGATGAAGAACTGCAACATATCAAAGCCTCGGCTTATCAAAGCTCTCGCCATTTTTTTGCGCCGCTTATTTCAAACGCTGATAGAGCTGAATCACACGCGGCACATCATCCTCTGAAACACTGCAGAGCCTTTTCCATCTGCGAGCACGGTGAGAACTATTTAGATGTGTTGTTTTATTTCGCTATCTGTTTGTGCAGGCAGCTTCGCTCCTGAGAAACAGCAGTTTAGCAATGAGAGATAATAGATAAACACACACACACACACTCACAAAGGGGAGAACTTGGGGAGACAGCCTTAGGTGTGTGGATGGCGAGTGGAATAGAGGTCGACAATGCATACGAGAGAGAGGGAACGTGTCAGGTCCGACCTGCCTGCTTCTGCCGGCTACAGCGAGACTGTCTGACCCCTGTCAAGCCGAGTTTGTTCCACTGACGAAACCTGGCACATTTTCTTGACAGGAGGTCAGGCGTTTTAGCACACCTTGCATGTTGTGCACAACTGCAATTTTTTTTGCTGGTGCTCCCCTGCTCCCTCTCTTGCCAAACCTGTGCACCGTGCCCGTGGAGTTTGTATTTCCTGTCCCTGCCGATCAGATCTCACTCTGTATCTGCAGAGTGTACTCGCAGTCCCCCCCCCGGCAGTCAGGGAACTGTAAGACAGTGTGTCCAAGAGGTAAAACTGGATCAGAGGTTCGGACCGGGGCCTGTCAGGGATGGTGAACGCATTCGTTTCCCCGGCCTCATCCTGCCACGACTCACTTTTCATTACCAATCTCTCTGGTTGGACTTCAAAGGGTTTGACTGCTGCACACTGCAGAGTTCCATAAGAACCATAAAAACCGCTGCATGTGTGTGAGATACTTTCAGAGCTGAAACTGAACCATGCCACTCTTGTTGCTCAGGTAACAAGCTATTGATGATCATTTCTGTTGCAGGCAAAATCTTCAACTCTATTTTTTTACTGTTTCACTCTTCACTGATTCTCCACCTCACACTGAGAGAAAAAAAACTTACTTCCAAAGTCTCGGATTGTGAAATTCTTGTTGCTTTTAAAATCTTCTTTTGGTGATTTGAAGGAGAAATGTTGCCCAGACATCGGGAGATCCTGGTCTTTTGCACCAAAGGTTTGAATCACCTGTTGAAATTGAAAGGAAAGAAACATTTGATTATAAATTGGCCCTCGTCACACTTGTGGTCCTGTCTCCATTGGGGGTGCATCAGTGTACAATAGTTGTGTTGTATTAATGGAGAAAACATTGTTACAGGTCAATTTGTTCCTGCATGTCAGACCTGTCAGTGCAGAAACAAGGCAGTGAACTGTTCTCTCTCTCTCTCTCTGGATTCAGTCCCTTGATTGATAACTTGTTGAAGTCTCTGGATGATCTGGACTCACAGTGTGATGGATTAAATTTATCTCAAACTGATGGAGCTTGCTCAAGAGTTGAAAACAGAAAACACTTGTTTCTATTTGACGCCTGCTGTAAGCCACAGAACGAACCACAATAAAAGAAGAAAGAGACGGGATTTGATTAATCCGACAACAAACTCGATCATCATGTGTTGAAAATGTGTTTATTGAAACAACACCCAGCCGACTTCACACAAACTTCCCTGTGCTCGACAGACTGCTGATTCAGCCGCCTCTGCACCAGACTGCTGACGGTCTTTTATACTTTCTTCTTTTCCCCACAGGTCTCTGAGCTTTTTCTGGATCTGTCTCTCCTGCCCAGCTGTGCCGCCCGTCGGCTCTTCACCTCTTGCTGGGCCTGACCTCCTGCAGACCTGATCCCCCTGCCCGGCACCCCCCGGATCCCCCCACGTACAAGGGGGCAACTAATCAGCCCTCCTGCCCTGTTCCATTAACCTGACGATGTTGCTCCGTGCCTCTCTCACCTCTCTGTATTTGAATAGAATTCCCCGAAGGGGAGTGAACGTGACACCAGGTGTGATGAGTGTTTGTTGTGTTCCCCGCAGCAGATGTAAACTTCACACTATTGATTTCCTACAACGAAATTAGCTTGTGATGAATAAATCGAGGGCAACAATTACACTTCCATGTAATCTGTCAAACCAATTTTTTCGGGTAAATCAATTCTGTTAGAAATAATAAATACAGCCCATCAGACTTTACCACAGTCCATATATCAAAATTACATGTTTTGCTGGGTGTCCCAGTGGAAGAGCAGTTAAGTTGCATCCAACAAAACTGCAGTGTCTCAGCTTCGATTCATCATAACCCTGTCTGCCAACTCTATTAACTGTGTGTATATAGAAAATACAAAGAAATCATACATCCTATCAAACAGATGATTTTTTTTCTATAAACAAACATGAATTGTTTGGGGAAAAATCTGAAAATATCAGCTTCAAAAACAACAAGAATTGTTGTATATTTTAATTTCTATATTAATTAGAATCATCTGTTATGTTCAAGTACAGATTTTCCCTCACTCTTAATGTGTTTCCCATCTCCTCCCAGTCACAAGTGGAGCTGTGCCTGCTGCAGCTGCTTATTATTATCTCCTGCCATTGTGCACGTGGAATGGTTTTAAGCGTCTTCCTCTCTTGCACTCAGCTGCATTGTAAGTTAAGCTAGATAAGAGCTCCAGCTAAATGGCCTTAATGTAAATGCAATTATCCCAGCATAACAAACTGATTCAGCTGGTGAGCATTCCAATGTGGCATTTTAAAAAGGAAACACATTAAAGAGCGAGGAGCACGTGACAGCACTGCTTGTCCTTAGTGAAGAACTCCACCGTGTTTTCTTTGTGGCGGCTTTTTCTCATTTCACACTTGACCAGTTGACCGGTCAGGCTGCTAAGTACACAAAATAAAGTCAAGTAAAAAATAGAATTCTACTGTATCACTCTGCCACTGCAGCACTGAGCTTGTCTCGCTGCGTTAAATAAAACTTTTTCGGCGTTTCACTGTTTAAAACAGTCTCTGTCCACATTTGAATTTGTTACAGCAGCAGCAGCTCTTCTGGGTCAGAAAGCCGGGGATTATGGGTAATATCTACCTTTCAGTTGGTTTGTTTTCTGCAGAGGGTGCTGTTGCTCAGTGAAAGTTAGTCCCACACTCTTTTTTTCTTCTCTTTCCACACATTTACCCAACAGAACTCAGTCACATCTTATGTTCTTGGATACATATTTGTTTCCTGGGAGGTTGTGCTGCCGCAGCATGAGCCTCAGAATCCGGTGGTTTGTGTATTTTTCTGCAGCGACAGTGCAGATAAACATTAAGGGAGAAAGGTGATTGATTTTTACAAGAGAGGATCTGCAATTCTTCAACATCCACCAGCTGTGCACAACACCTGGAGGCATCACGCTGAGGAAACACTGCAGGAAAGTGTACACTCAGCACCGGAGGGCAAGAGAGGAGATAAAGAGCAGGAGATTAGAGTGAGGGAGTAGGAAATAGGATGGAGGAGAGATGAGGATGACTTATAAACACAAGACACAGGGTGTGTGGTAATTACAGCTGATCTAGATGTCAGGTGTGTGTTGTCTTCACTCATTCTGCTTTCGTCTTTGTGTCTTTGTTGTATTTTTCAAAATGTGTTAACAACATGTATTTGTCCGCACCTGGAGAATAGAAGCAGGTAAAACAGCCGAGTGGATTCAATCCTACATGATTTAATTTGTCTGATGTATTAAAGCACTTACAGCATCTTCTTTGGTAGAGATCATGTTCTCTTTTTTAATGTATTCCATTAAAAAAACAGCAGCTCATCAAAAGAAAATGTTTGTTATTATTTCTGCATTGTGATTTAACTTGTCTTTCTGCGTCAAATGAGCCTCTTCCCCCTCTTCTAAGAGTCGACCTTGAAGGCTGAGAACACGGCAGGTAGACACAGGCGCCTCCAGACGGAGGGCACAGCCGTCACCGGCGAAAATCACACGCTGCGTATGATGAGGATTCAACAGCAATTTGATTGACTGCCAAAGGAGCTGTTCCCTCGCAACGCTAAGTGCATATAGATGCTAGTTAATGGGCTAATTTACAGGCACAGGTGGTTTACAACGCACACGGGCAAATTCTCCGCTGCATCTCGAATACATCATCGGGAAATGTGCTCCAGGTTGCTGATATGCAAATTGCCGCTGCGCTTTATGATTGCCTCTCCTGCAGAATCCAACTCTGTGACACAATCGGTGGGAGATTTAGATTCGTAGCGAGCTGATCGGTTCTCAGCAAAACCCCTTGAAAAACAAAAGGTTTTTATTCAAGTGACCTTGTGTTAAAACGATGCAAACCGACCCTGTGTGACGTGTCAATATCAGAACTAATGTTTCACAAAGCAGAGAAACATCACTGACTTTTTTATTTCCACACTCCAAAGAATCAGCTGTTTCCTGCCCAGGTGTGAACAAAGGCTCTTTGCCAGCGTTTACATGAATCAACACCTCTCATATTCAATTTAACACCTTTTCATAGTTTTCAACAGCCACCTTGAAGCCATATCAGCTCCATGAGAGGACAAGCAACACTCTGATCTACGGCCGTCAACTCGCTGGAAAATCGACACAACTTAACGTAGGGAAATCTCCAGCGTTTTGTGTGATGCGAGTGTTTATGCAGACGTTACCTGTCCCATTTTAGCATTTTCACACACAAAGGTCTCGTAAGGACTGGACAGTTCAGGCGGGAACTCGTTGATGTCCAAGACGTGGACGGTGACGGCCACTCGGCTGGTCAGAACGGGACTATCTGAAAGAGAAACACACAAAACAGATCCAGTAAATCACCTTTTTGTTTGCAAGTAGGACTGGACCGCTTGTTTTTTTTCACAGCACTGACATCATGTGGATTCCGTAAGTACTGACTCCTTATGAGCCAAAGTATAAAAGGGTTTTGAGTGGTTATAGCGGCCCTCGTGCCCTGGTGTCCAGTCAGAGAGTCTTTCAGCCGCCTGTAAGACGCTCTGGTCAAACTCTAGAAACCGCCTGATGTGCCTGGATCCCGTCGCTGTGTAAACTGCACCTGGACTCTGCTATTTTACGACGCTTTAGATTGATGATGAAAAGGAGAATTAAATAAAAACAAACATAAATGCATCCCATGCGTTGCCAACAAATAAAGCATGCCTCACGTTATGGAATATGGCTCCACGGAGAGAATCATTTCCTTACAAGTTTTTTTATTCTCAGGTTGTGTTATGGGTTTTAGCCACAAGATGTGCAGCCCATATTAATTATAGTGTAAAGGCCCCCTTGAGGGGAACTAACTTGAATCCAGGGTTATTTTTACAGTGTTTCCTCACTGCAGGGGCACAGTGGGGAAATGTTCTTTTTATGTGGAAGCCTGAGTAAAGGTAAACTTTATGGATTTGATGCGGGAATAGGCTTTTCTCTGCAGCAGGGGACTTTATGTGCACTTATTTGTGTGAGTGCACGGGTGCGTGGGTGCGAAGGCTTGTGTGTAGGTGGCTGTTTGAATAGAATGCAGTGGGGGGGGTGGGCTCTTTGGAGTCGTCTCAAGGGGATTGGAGACGCAGGCTCAGTTAGTAACCTGTCTCTGACCTTGATGGAGCAGGCAATCTTCCCACAGAGGTAAAAATGACACTGAGCATGGGATTTGCTGCTTTGCACAGACTGAACTACTAACACTGATGCTTCGCCAGCGGAAAAACAGATATTTTCTGTCAGCGAGGTCCTGAATTCTTTGGCCCTTAAAAAATCTGCAGCCACTTCAAATCTTCCACATCAATGGATTCTGTAAAAAAAAAAAAAAAAAATTGTCCTCAGAGTCCAGAAGTCCTTGAAACAATCATTCATCAGCTCCTCTTCGTCTCGTCACAATGTATGAAACTGTTGCCTGACTCCCAGTGAGTGATATTTCTTTCAGCCCACTAGATGGAGCACTGGTATCGTGGTTATATTCACATGTCAGCGTCTCAGCCCGGTAACACGTGCTCTGTTTTTTTCACTAAAGCAGAATCCTGCACTGCTTGCTTGAGTGGTCAGCTATAAAGTTGTCTTCCTTATACTGCTTTAATGCTGGATATTAATGTTTTTAATTGAGATGATTTTAATTAAAAAACCTCACTCAACTACAAATCTATGAAGTCTGCTGGAAAACAGAGATAGACAGATTCCTTGTGGATGATAATCTGTTGAAAATGCAACTGCGGCCGCACTAAGTAAGAAATAAAAAAACTCCCAACGCAAATGTTAAGTGTGAAATTAAATTCAGTTGCTGTAAATAGATGGAAAATGTGCTTGCTTATTGCCTCCTGCCAAGGTTATTATCGCATTAAATAGATCTTCCTCTTTCTTTGACTCCTAAAAAATTGCCGGTGGGCTTAAATGCCAAAAAAGCGGACCATTAATCTAGCCCCGGCTCTTATTTAACAAGCCTTCTGCTGTGTACTGTGTCCCAGGAGAGCAGCACACACTGCTCTCATTTTGCTGCATGACTGCGGTGTCTAGCGATGACCGCACAAATCTCCGAGGCTTTGTGTCGGTGAAGAGTCTCCATCTCAGGTGTTGTACTAATCACGGCGGGGGTAGAGGCAGCGTTATTCAAGGGAAAATGTCATCAGACGTCTCATATTGTTGGATGTTTCCTTCTGGGTCTTTGTGGTGTGGAAGGTGTGGGAGGATAAATGCTAAAACAGAACAGAATCAAGGACAAACAGCAGATGCAGAGACGGGTCAAAGACTGAGGTCTGCAATCATTTGTTGTGTATTGAAAACTGCTGCCAACTGAGGATGCTCCAGACGACTGTGGAAAAGAGAAAGTAGGTCTGTGTGTGTGTGTGTGAGCATGACCTCTCTTCATTCAAACAATGCATTATGTGTACGGGCATCAGAGGAATCTTTTTTCAAGCATGTATTGATGTTGTTCATGGTTCAAAACCCGAACAACAGACAGCGACGATAGTGGAATGTATCACAGAGGAGCCATAACAACAATCCAATACTCGGAACACAAAGTTCTGCCAAATCTCACTCAAGGTCAGAAACGGATTTGAACTCACTAGTTGGGACTCAAACCCTGGAGTCGGCTTCATCTCACTGCCTGCTGCACCAGTGCAACCATTACTTTTTTAAACACTGGCTATGGAGGGGATCTTCCTTTTTTTTCTGTTTCTGTCATGGGGTGGGGGTGGGGCGGGGGGGATTGTCTCTAGACAAACATCAGAGATGAGGAGAAGCAGGACGGGTGGTTGAGAGGCTGACTTTGGACAAAAGGCAATAAGAATGCGGTGAGGCGCAGGTGCAGGTGTGCGAGGGCAAGACGTGGAGAACCCCAGTAAAACCACCTCCATCGTTCTTTCAGTTTATCTCATCCTCCAATTCTTTGATGCTCGAACACGTGAAGCACACAAAGAGACAACACACACACAGAAAACAAAATTAGCATGTCACTGCCGTGACCTTGAGGGGAAGTGATCAACATCAGTTTCCAAGGCGACAATGACTCGAGTTTTAACGGCCCATATTTCACAGTCTGTCCTAATGAATATACAGCGTGGGTAATTTTGATTGAGCACCAGCCTGCCTCTGGGATAATGACTTTGACGGTTCTTAGCAGATTTGATGACTTGATGACGATGGATTTGCTTATTTATCCGGAAATTTGCTCCACTTCCTTCATAAAAACATAATTAGCTTGATGACATGTCTTAAAGCCACGGCTCCACATTAGCTCGCTCTTCTCCGGCTCGGGCGCACGACACGCTGCGACGCGGCTGCATCTGCCGGCTGTAAAATCTCTGGAAGGTTCCCATTTTACTGCAGTGTAAGTAAAAGTTGACTCTGGCAAGGGGAGCTCCCTCCCAATGCCAATGTCATCAAACGTGTTGAAAAAGGCAGTTAAAAATGAAAACAGAGTTGGCGAGTGTGCTCGAGGAGAAAATGTCCTGAAGATACATTCCTCCGGGGGAGTCATCATGGTTTATGGTCACCTATAAACCTTTCCAGAAAAATGGGATTGAGTATTGACTTGAGTAAAAGTGTGTTAAATCCTTCACACAGATTATGGCCGGGAAAGGACAGTGACACCTGCATGAATCACAATCAATCCTGTTGTCATACTCACTAAGTTTGGTCGCCACGATGGAGATATTGTGCTGGGCGATGCTCTCTCTGTCAAGTAGCTCGTTGGTGGAAATCGTTCCCTCCACTGGATCAATGTCGAAGTAGCTGTCCATGTCGCTCTTCCAGTCGATGGAATACCTGGAGAAAAAAAAAAATATGTTTGTTTAATGGCATTCATTTCCAACATAAACTGGAGAATTAAACCACCATGATTTCCCCCCCTGGGCTCATGAATTAGATGTAATATAATGTTGGCACAGCCTTCATTACTCATTCTGAATGGTCATTTTCAGAAAATGTGCTGAGGATCGCATAAACATTCCAATCTAGTAATGGGGCACATGTACTTTGGCGATGCTGAGCAAACGCTTTTCTTGGGAACATAAATGAATTTTAGGCACTTTTGAAACCATATCAATCTCTCTCGGCCGACGAGGAACCAAAGGCTTGAAATGCTTGGTTTGGTGTCTGAGAACAGAGGGTGAGACGTCCTTCTTTGTGAAATGCGTCTCTGGTCTTGCCCACAGTGGCTCTGAATGCAAACTGAAACACAAAAGAGATCTGAAACCAAACGGCGTGCCACTGACAGCGCCATTCATCACGGCATGCTATTTGAACTTAAAAGGCGATTTTTCATTAATAATTTTGTTGTCATCGTCGATGCCGCTCCCGGAGGAGAAAAAAAGATGTTGTCTTTTATGGAGCTTCACAGGGAAGGTCAGGGGTTGTGGGTTTTAGTGCCTTGCTCTTGGACGCTTCCACAGGACTGGTACTTAATTTCTCATGGGCTTGAGGCTCGAGCCTTTCAAATCAAAAGGCAGAATGCCACCATTCTGCCATTTTTTGTTCTCTCACATGGCAAAGCTATTTGATCTTAAAAAGGCTATTTCTCGTTAATATTTATCACAAATGTTGTTTTTTTTTTTTTATACAAAAGAAACTGGACTCGACTCAGGCATGAAAAGGAAGAGGCCTCGCCTACATTCAGACCCCACTTCAGCAGAAATATTTTACCAGCTTTCGTTCCGTCAAATTTTCCGTTTCAATCCTGATTTGTCCACGTCCGCTCTTTAACGCGTGTAGCGTGCAGCCTTGAAGCGAACATGATCGTGTCAAAATAGTTTAGTGTGAGTCTCTTTGATAAATTCTGCAGCCAAACTCCCCATCAAGAGTTCAAGAGATCAATGGCTTGCAATTTTTCCTCAGGGCAAAACTCTCTTTTTTTTGTTTTTAGAGTCAAGCTGCTACTGATGTATTTACGCTCACAGTCAGTGTGGTCCTGCCTCTTAACCGGAATATTAAAGGCTGAGTCACAAACAGTGTGTGTAATTGTGTTGAAATTTCCTTTAACAAGACAACAAACCCCAGCAGCTCACTCTCCTCTCCAGCTAAATGCCAATGTCTTCTTTTTTTATATCTAATTACTAATTCTGCAAATGTCCGTATGTATGTCTGTGTTATCAAACCAGTTATTTTATCGGCTTCACATTTGGCATTGGTGTGTTTTAAGTTGCCTGAGGAAGTGCAGTGCTATCTTTGGTCACATTCTACCTTCAATATAAATAATTGAATAAATGTCCTCAGGACAAATCACCGCCAGATCATTGTGATAATTCGTTCTCATCCAAAGAATCATTTCCTCTGTAGCAAGTTGTCTTAAAGGTAAAAGCACCGTGTTTGTTTGTTGCTGTAATGCTTAATAACAAAGTTTATATTTGGAAAAAGTTTGAAGATTGGTTGTTAAACAGACCTGAAAAAACTGAATGCAATGAATAAAACATAAGTTGAGGAAATCATTCAAACCGCACATTTGAACAATAAATATATTAAATTTGGTTTCATTTAATCAACAACATTGACTATAAAATCTTCAGTGCAGATGAACCAGGTAGGATGAACACGAAATATTCTAACTTCCCTTTGCACACAGACAATGAAAACCGATTGTGTATTGTACAGTAAGTGTTTCACGGAGCATCAACACAGGACAAGAGAACCCAAATTAACAAACAGGCAGGTTTACAATGGACACTGCACTTGTTCATTTGCTTCAGTTTAACATAAAAAAAGTATTACTGTTACTTCAACCTCAAGTTTTAATTAAAGAGAACAGGGCTCACCAGCAGCTGGGAGAAGACATCACAGTACTAAAGGCTGCACATGTGAAAATTAATTAGTGTTATCTCCTGCTTCGGACTGCAGTGATGTTAATTCAGTCCAGTGACCATTACGCACAATGCACGAGGTCATTCAAGAGAAAGAGAAGAGACATGTGAGTTTATTTTCCACAGTTATTGATTTTTAGAGTTTAAGGTTCTGCCACTGAGCCTTTACAGCCCGAGGACATTGTGGCTCTTCAGGTTTTTTTTTTCTTCTTCTCGTGATTTGTGATATTACCATTTTAGACAGAGGCCAAAAGTGCGTAGTTTAAAACTCATTCAAACTCGGGGAAGCTCTTTAGAAACGTCCAACAATGCAGTATTCATGATGCCCTTTTGTCTCCCAAGAGACAACTCGGCGCTATACTGTTAAATAGCAGAATCAGTAGAGTCTAAAGTCTAAAAGCATAATTCCCTATGCATGATGGGTCATTGGGTCTATTGTTCTGATGTGAAGAATGCACGGCTGCTCTCTGAAGGCACACAAATGAACAATGTCAGCTGTGATATTGATGAATATTTAAAGTGCTGGAGACAAAGTGGGGATCCGCAGAGTGGAGGGCATAAGCTTTTTGTTGAACAAATATCTGCATTTTCCCATTCTTTTGTTGTCTCCGGAATAAAATATTCATAATAAAACAACTCAGTGCAACAGGTATCTTTGCTATTTGCGTTAGGCTCCGGCAATACATCTTCGAGGAACCATTACCACAAAGCAATCTGCCTGAGCTACAGCGGCTAATAGATTTTAAAAACAAAAGGCTCATTCATTTTTTAATGCACTTCTTTTTGTCTTTTAGAAAGACAGTCAGTTATCTACCACTCAGGTTGTATGTCAGGATAGCGTGTGTGTGTGTGTATTTGTGATGTAACAGTAACACACAGAGACTGAGAATGACTTGGCCTGAGTATAAATCAGGTGTTGATCAAGGCGTTTCAGATCTATAAACTGAAGTAATGATGTTTGAATGTCTCACCACATAAGTACTAACTAAAGACCGGGGACAGGAGCCCAGTGTTTATAGTCTTTTGTTAAACATGAGTGTTAGAGATCAATTTTAATTTCCATGAAAAAAAACTTAAAATGATAAATCAAAGCAAAGGGATTTTATTATCATCCATCCATTATCTATATGGCTCATCCGAGGGGAGCTGGAGCAAAGAGGTGGAGTACACAGTGGAAAGGACGGCAGCGAAGACGCCAACATAAAGAGCAACGAACAACAAATTAACCTAACCCCAGTCTGCATGTCTTTGGACACACAGTCCAAAGACATGCAGATTGCAGCCAAACTGGGATTCAAACTAAGGACCTCCTTGATGTGAGGCAACCGTGCGAACCACTGCATCACTGGGCCCAGATTAATTTTCATGTGCAATATAAATTAAACCGGTAGAGTTTCCCTTAATCATTACCTCCTTTGCTTCTGTGTGGCTGCAAATCTACACCACTGCTTCCACTTCTTATCAGCTCTCACACTCTATTTAGATTGTATCTGTACAAAACGATACGGTTTCAATGAGCCCAAAATGTTGTGTTCTTACTCTTTTTTTGACACTAAATTAAGGACATTTGGAAATCCCTGTCCTTCATTTAGTCCATTTCAATCAACAACGAGAAAACCGGACAACGGAACAAAGACAAGATCTGATTGCATCTGTCTCACCGCTCTGTAAAGCCAAACAGCACCAATAAAAAAACACGTGAGTCACATCAGCTGCAGCTAAAGTACAGTTTGAATGAATTTGAAATGCAAGTTTAATACAGTTTGTATCAGTCATTGTCAAACTGAAGCCAGATAATATCTGCACTCTCATGTAGATTTTCATTTTCACAGTGAACACATCAGGTGCAGAGATATGCAAATACAGGAGCACTAATAACGTTGATGATATTCTCTGATGCACAACGTCACCAACAACTCCTGACCTGCAAAGACATGACGCCAGCAGGATTTTACATGACAATGTCAAATGTTCTACATAGATTGATTAGTCCTCGAGCTGACGGGTAAAACGGGCAATACTCTCCAGATTAAAACCATGGTGACATTGATGAATGAAGACTGGAGACGTTGATGAATGCATTAGAGTTTTAAAACTTTCAATCACTGGTTTCATTATCACAGTACTTTGCTCTTAAGCTCCTTTGTCCTCGCGGGAGTAACGAGGGAGATTTGGTTGAATGGTAAAGCCTCTCAAGATGAAGATGTGCACTCAGTTCCAGGCCTACTTCAAGTTTTTATTAGCCACTGTGGATTATATGAAAATGATTCACATAACCCCTCCTTACGTAAACTTGGTTTTACAAACTTTGGATCACACATTGATGCAGTTTGTCTTTTTATTTTCGTGCTGATCCCTGTGCAGATATTTATAACCCAGTTAGTATAGTCAGTATAAAGTTTAAGATATACAACAAATTATTAATTGATTTTACTTGGATTTTCATGTTTGGCTCGTCTGTGAAAGTCCATAATGAGAATGGACTTGAAAAATCCACTGAAACTGAATCTTTTAAGACTGAAAATGAATGAAATATGTTTTTCAACCAAAAGAGACAGACTTTGATATCATCCCCAAATTATTTTTGAAGTATTTCTGCTCCTCGTCAAACTTTTACATTTTTTTTTACATTTTTTACTGTTTTAAAATTTAAAAGGCGATTTTGTTTTCTGCTAAATATAATCTTGGTGTTAAAAATCAAACCTTTGCTCCTGTGGTTTCATAAAACCAATGGAACCTAAGCAATTTTATATTCAACAAGAAGACACATGATTATTCTTCTCATGAATAAGACGTAGAAAACTTGCCTGAATGTTTTTACAACAGGTGTGCGTGTGCGCAATGATTATTTCAGAGAGATGAGTTTAACTCTACCTGACTGGACTGCTGCTGGCATCTAAATCCTGTGCCGTCACCGCTCCAATGATGGTGCCTGCGGGTGTGTCCTCATGCACATCCATCACATACGAAGGCTTATTGAACACCGGGGGCTCATCCACATCCAAAACGTTAATCTTCACCGTTGCTGTGTCTTTGAAGGCCCCAGAGCTCTGAAATCGTTGATCCAGATGAGCATTGGTGGCATCTACTTTAAAGGTGTACGCCTTCTTGGTTTCATAGTCCAGGGGCTACGAGACAAAACAACAGACAAGAGAACAGTTGAAGTTTGTTTCACACTGACAGTTTATTTTGGAATCATAATTGTGTCACAGCCTAGAACGTGTCAGCACTCCTACTGTAATTCACTTTCTGTGAAGTGCTCATCCTGTACCAGCGAAGAGCTCTCGAGGAAACACTGTAACTGAATAAGAGCATCAGTGTTGACAGCAGTTTGCCCTGGGTTCACTTTTGCTATTCTGGCATTTTCAGGGATGAGTAACTGCGATCAGATGTCAGCCCCCGTGTATCCGACAGATTCCAGGATTTGGGAGATTTCCAATGTCTTCGTTACATTAACGTGGCACAAAACACTTTCAAATCCCATTGTTCTCAGCTGAGAGAAAAGCAGAAACAAAGGAGAAGAAGACGTGTGTGAAAACAGCCTGAAGTGTGACATCACAGGTGATTATCAAACATAAGTAAACACCAGACACATGAGACACTCCTGGTAGGTCATGACCAGGTTAATGTTCTGCCCCGCCACGGTGAGAAAGTCAAGCTGGTGCTTGCGTGGTTCAGCCGAACTTCACCTCCGTACAAGAGTTCTTCAGACAACAGCTCAGGGTGTTCGTACGTTCTACCCCTTCAAGCCCCTGACATATCAGCTCAGGGTCAATTAGTCAAAAGCAAGGGGAGGCATTGGCATCCTCGGCATGTCTAGCGCTGAGGTATAAACATCCGACAGCAGTGACGCCTGTGCTCGTGCTTCTGCCTGTCTCCTGCCGTCTCATGTGTGACCAACCATACTTGGCAAGCTTGCAGTCGGTCATGCTCCACCGGCCTGGAGTCACATGAGAGACATTCCTTTCGGTGTATTTCAAATTGACTAACATGTTAGCACTACGGCAGCAATGCTATCTTTCCGCCCCAGGACTTGAGCTTCTCTTGGCACGTTGTTCCAAAAGACACAAAGTGAAAACAGCTGGTGATAGCTCTGTGAAATGTGCTCGCGCAAAGAGACGGCGAATGTGAGATGAGAGAGAAAAGGCGTTTTTTGTGCTGCGAGATAAATATGACCAATCATCTGTCCAAATTAAATGCACATGAATTAGCGGTGTAATTAGAGTGCAACTACTAGAAATGATCAGAGACGGTGCAGTCATGATTTCACAGAGATAGCAGATGCTTCTCAAGCCCTCTGTCTCTCATCCATCTCCATGGTTTCACAGTCTCTTTGCAGCAGCAGGTGTCCGTTAAAAGAAAAAAAAACGAGAGCTATGTGAAGGCAAGCCAATCTGAAACCAATCACTGACCATCAACCGCCATGATTGGTTTGATTACAGTGCGCCAGATGCAACTGGCCAAGCACAGCTATAAGATCCCTCAACAGGAAATACACTCTGTCCCTTTCAATCTCTCCCAAGAAGTGACAACACTGAAAGAAGACTGAGGCTCTCTGAAGCACCAGTCCGGTACAAATACTCACTTCATTGTGGACGTCATTCAAATTGATCCCTACATTAAAATCTGAACTCTTCCTGCCAAGCGACACCTACAAAGTGGCTGAAAATGCGCAGCAGTCATTATTTCAGATTTCCGAACTCCCTGCTGGTTCCTGTGAAGTGCTCTGCATCAATAGAAACTCAATGTATTTTTCCCGCAAAGTTCTCGAGACGCCAACAAATGCATCAATCGTACAATGAGGTCATTCTCGCAATTTGGAGTCTTCAAAACCACTTTGAAAAGAGAGTAACATAAATACTAGCCAATAGCAGGCCTGCTAGTGCTGAAGGCTACATCACGCCATGCTCAGATTAGTACATATAGACAGCCGTGCGTGGCTCAGCTGGAACACATGCACAGGTGGAGAAGGAGGAGGGAAGGCGATGCCGGGGAGGCGGACAGCAGGAGGTGTACACCAAGCTTCATTAGCTGTGAGTCTCACCGGGATTGAGGCGAGGCCCTGCCCTGCATCTCAACATGCTGCATCACCACAATTAGGAACAAGGCCCAAACCCTCACCCTCTATAACTGTCTAATTTTCATGTAGTCCTCAGCTAGCAGAAGACTGGAGGAGTGTGGTGCTGTTTTCACACAACAGCACAACATAGTTTTGACATAAGTCCGGCTCAGCAAGAAAAGCAGGAATCCAAGGGTTTCAGCTGACAAATAATTACGTGTGAGAAAAGCAAATGTCTTCATTTGAAATAATTGGATGGCGGGCAGATTCAGCAACATGAGACATCAAGAGCTAGCTCGCAAAACAGCTCAAGTGAACTTTGGATTGTAAAGAGCAGCAAATCGGTCAATTTTCTGGAACACACTAGTTTGCGTTTGTTTGTTTGTTTGTTAGCAGTATTTCGCAAAAACGACTTCACTGGGGTACAACTGCAAGCCAACGAAGTGAGATACTGTCACTACAGTGTAAATCAGATGCCCTCACTCTGATTCAAGTGTTGTTTTTGTTTTCCAGATGTTTGATTAGCCAGTTAATAATCTAACCTTATCAGCAAACCCCAGACTATTCCTTCTTTAGTCCCTTCAACGTGGCCACCAGAGGGCCTGACAAGCATGTGTGTGAAATGATCGTCCACATTTGAGGGTCTCCAGACCTTTGGCAGGTGAATTCCTACATTGATTCATCATTACATGGCCGCTCATTATAATATTTACTTAGCTCATTTGATTTATTTAGCCAGTCTAGTAAACGCTGCAGTATTTCATCAGGACTGAAAGGATGTGTTAAACAGGTGATCATTAATTTACAGCAAAGAAAAGAGATGACATCGCAGGAACAAATTGGAGCTCATTTTCCCAGCAGATGGAGGAGGGAGCGGCCTCTCTGACACCGGTGGAACACTGCATGGACCACCACATGATTAAATGTCGCGCAAATCCCGCAGATTAATTCACATACTCCGTTTTGGGACGCAAACTGTGGAGTCCCTGGCTGCCTGTTCAACATGTCTGAGATGCAGGACGGTTCCAAGTGTGTCTGGGATATCTGTTGTTAAATAGGAATGAAATGAGGCCAGAAGGGGGTAATGAGAAACTCCCAGTTAATGAGAAGACGTGCTAATGTGTCAACACTTGACTTGAGGATCAAATCTGATCTGGAGGCCATAGGGGAAATTTCCCTGGAAGGGAGAAATGGTCACTTATCCTCAGACTATGTGGAACATTTCTTGTTTTTTCTCCCCGTCACTGAAGATGCCCTACTTACGCACACAGAACCAGCGCTGTGTGCATAACTCTCACCCGTATGCACACATGTGTTATCCTTAAACGCGTCGTAGACACCTGTGCACGTTCAATTACGCGTTTGAAGTGTCTCATTACAGCTTCGGTTGTTACGCACATTTTATGGGTTGCCGCGGACACAACAAGGAAGTGTATCAACGGTAGAATTTGTAAGGAGGACAGACCGAGTTCCTCTCATGTCAGTGCTGCTGCTCTTCAACATCACAACAGAACACACTTGAAATTCTAGACATGGTGCAGCGCCCTTTGATATGTAAATGTGCACCTTCATTGCACTGGCAGTGATACTGAATGAAGGAACTTTTTTTTTTTTTCCCTGCCAATTGAACCTGTTATAGTCCAAGGGAATTTGTTAATTTAGGGAAAGGGGACTAATCAATGCATCGCAGTCTCGCAGGTACAGTTTTACACTTCACACGTCCAGGCGTGGCCTCGTCCACATGTGGATACAGAACAATGCATGAGCTTGTTGATGATTTATAGTGAGATATAATAAGAGCAAATCCATGAAATATGTTTCTCACATGAAACTTCATAGTCCCTCCGTCACCGCGGCCTCTCCTCTCAGGATAAAGTGTTTGTTGCATCTGGTTTTTTTTTTCAGCCTGGTGGTTATTTTGGGGATGGGGGATGCAGGCTGATATGCATATTTAATAAGATCTCAGCTTGTTTGTGTTCACTTGAGTAGTACAATAGCAGAGTTCAATATTCTTTGCAAACCACTGATATGGGGCATGGTCTTTTACCAACACCCATGGGCGAGTCTCAACTTTCCGACTCAAAGAGTCATTATCACAGCACAGCAAGTCATTAGCAGGCTGATTCCCTTCGTCTGTGCTGAACGTAGGTTTTACCTGAAGAGGCTGGTGATTAAAACGGGGTGAAAAACACTGCAAATGTTGTTTAATCTGTGATGCGCAGGGCGGCCTTAAATCCATTTAACCACAGTATTATATATTTACAATACAACTTATGAATCATTAACACCCCCTCACACGATTTATCCCCTGAGAGCAAATCAAAGCTCAGCAAAACATGCCTGGGATATCGCACATTTCTAATTGCAGCCGCCTAAGCCCAACCTATTTCTCCGAGCAGAAGCTTTTGGACATGACTGGTCGCTTAATTCCGGCGAGGGCAAAACCTCTTGATCCCACATGACAGCACCCATCATCGGAAAGCTGAAGATTTGCCTGTTGGGTTGCAGTAAAGCTCTAATAGTCCTAACAATGCCCCGATAAGCTTAACTCATTATTTCTGGAATGCAAAGCTGCCACAGTGAGAGAGTTTCTCTGAGATTCTGAGATAGGCAATTATAACTCAGTGGTATGAGTCAGGACTAATATCGGTGTTGTGAATGAAGGACTTCTTTATAAGGTCACTGGAGTCATTGACTGACAGTTTGAGTTTCCGCCATGCAGTAGGGGGATAAAGACCTTTAGCAGTCAAACTGACCACAGAGCACAATGAGCTTATCACGAGAAGAGAAAAGCTTACATGCCCCAGAGAGCCATTTGATGTCCCTCTTAATACCGGGGGGGGTCCTAACACTGTGCAGACTAGACGCTCACTTTATTGTGCTGCCATCAGTCACATCGGTTTGTGTCCTTGGCTGCCTCCGAGCATCTCCATCACGCCAGTGCTCACAACAGTGGAATGCCATCCGAGGGCCTTGCCAGCAGCCGTGTCCACACTGCAGCGGCGTGTCGCGACTGTGAAAGACTCACACAGCCACTCTTAATAGGACAGAGTTCACCACGGGATGAGC